AGGAGGTGGTACAAAGCCCGTGTGTCCTTGGAAGCTGCGGTGACAGTCATGTCGTGTCCCCCCCGTTGAGGCCGCTCGCAGAGCAGTGGGAGATGTGCAGTGTTCAGTGCTGCGGCTGCTCACTGCGGACCAAGGGCAGAAGGGATTGGGGAGCTCTGTGTCTTTAGCTTAGTTTTTACTGACTTTTCTCTGCCAAAAAGGTGTTTCCAGCTTTGTGTGTGTGTTTATCAGGCAGTTCTAGCTTTATAGAGTCGGCTTGCTTATATCCAAAACCCACAGCTTGTGTGCATACTCATCTAAAATACTTTTCTAAGCGCTATTTGGGCCATGTTTGCACAGGTATTTAGTTAAAATGCAAATTCAGTTTTGCAAGTCTGTTCTCCTCTCCTTCTCCCATTTTCCCCCAAAGTGCTCAGACAAGAGCTTGCAGCCGTGTGGCTTAGCGCACAACATCAAACTGCAGAAGGCGCCTGCGAGGTTTTCAGGTGGTTACGAACTTGTTTGCACTATTGAGACAAAATGCTAAGAACTCCTTAAAGACCTCAGCCTTTCATGCTCCTTAGTGGTTGCCTGAGGGGAACTGAAGTCCTTTGGTTCCTGCATTGAAAGCGCTGTCCTGTGTGCATCCTCTTGCTGCTCCGGTCTCCTGTTCATGTAGTGACTTCTGAACCCTTGTTTTGAAGTCCTGTGTAGAAACCCATGGCTATGGTGCAGAATCTTCAACTAGAAACTGGGAATAAGAAAGTTGTGGCTATTTAAGAAGCTTTTTTTATTAATTTATGATCTTTCTCATCCTTTCCTAGAGTGTTTCGGGATCCCAGCCACTAGAGAACTTGGGTATTTCTGCTGCAAATACTCCTGAGTCCCATCCCGCCAAGCCCTGTGGAGCACCAAGACCCGTCAATGGAGTTATTAACACGTAAGCTGCTTGCATATTATGGGAAGAGTTTGATTTTTATGATCTTGACAAAGTCCCATTGGAAACCAGCCTGTAACATGCTGGTTGGTAGTGACTGGGTTGGTAACGGTGTAAATGCTCTCTTTTTGAAAAAAGTATGGTGGTAGATCATGCTTGGAAACGTTTTGGAGGAGTTTGCTTGCTTGAGGTTTTCTGCTGCATTGTTTTTCTGAAAATGGTATTAAACTGAGCTGTGTTTACATGAACAAGCCCTGCAGGCAACCGTGAGCACGTTCAAAACTGTTTCTTTATGGGTATTTTTAATACGCTTGCAAATGGTACGATTCAAAGATACTGGTGGCCCACTTGCAATTATTTTGCAGAAGTATCTGTAACCACTGGCCCGCTTTTCTGGAGATACTGAGGAACCCTAATCCCACTAATTTTGGGAGTAAGACTTTCTAAATTCTTTGTTTCTCTGGGCCATTTTTGTTGAAAAAGTTGTTAAGTGGGTAAATGAAAACAAGTGAAAGAAATTCTCCTGCACTTCAGGATGATTCCAGAGTTGAACCACTCGAAAGCCCTTGAACACACGGTGCTTCAAAGTTCTGGTAGTGACTAGAGAAGCATTTCCAGCACCATTGCTCTTGCATAGTACCTTGAGGAGGGAGGGATGCTACACCAGTGCAGTGTGAGCGAGCATAGAAAGCACCGATCAGCTAACTCATTGCTACAGCTGAAACACTGCGGGCTATAACAGAGCCCTTTGTATGCCTGTAGCCTTTGAACTGCAGAGCCTTAGACCACAGGACTTTAATGTTTTGCATTTTTAGAAATGAAACACTTGGAAAATACACATGGAAAGGTTCCGTAGATGAGGGGCTGCGCTGGTATTTGGTAGGTGGCATGGTGTGCTGATGCCACAGTAGGGCAGGGTTACTGCGTGTGGATGGCAAAGTCCTTTGTACGTAAAACAGGTTAATGTTAACGTTGCGCCTTTCTGGTGTCACTCCTGAGAGTTGTTAGAGGTGTAGTTCTCAAATATTAATCAGAATCAAGTTTACATCGAGGTTAAATATTTTTTCTAGAAAATTCTATGTTCTCTGTCTTGTGCTCTCTGGCATTTAGACTCATGAGAACCTGTTGTATTAAGATACCCTGAAGTGTAATTTTGAGGGAAATTGAATTCTAGGGTTAAAGCTGTTCATGGCTAGAGCGGCTCTTGGTCTTGCTCTGTGTCCAACTTTACGTGCAATTCTTGGTTCAGAACTTCCAAAGATACTTTGTCAAAGGATTAGTGGTGAGATAGTGTGAAAAGTGACCAAAGCAAAAATTTGCCTTAATAAAAGCTATTGCCTCATGAGACTGCAATGCTTTAAACTCAGCTTGGAGTGTTTGCTGAGGTCTGAATCGTGAACCCGGCTGGTGCTGCTGGGTAATGTGGGATGGCTGAATGAATAACGCTATCCGTCTTACTCTCTTCTCTTCTCTTCTTGGGCAGTCTTCAGCCTGGCCTGGCAGAACATGCTCAGGGAGATGGCCAGGAAGCTGAGGAGCTCTTGCATAAAAAGCAACGACTGAACATGGTTTCTTCATCTTCGGATGGAACGTGTGTAGCAGCTCGCACTCGCCCAGTACTGAGCTGTAAGAAGCGACGGCTTGTTCGACCTAGCAGCATTATGCCCCTTTCCAAAAAGGTTAGTGCTGTTTGGGTTTTTTTGATGCAGTATATAGCGGAAGCTCTGCACCAAATGGCCTGGTGAGGTACTGATGTGTTGGTCCAGTGAGCTTTTGCTCTTTGCATGAAGAGGTCTCCCTGTTTTGGGAATGTTTGTGGTTATTAAGAGAGGAAGAATAACGAGGAGGAAGAGCAGGGCACCGAGGCTTCAAAGGTTGTTGGAGAAACGAAGGAGAAGCTTTTAATTAGTTGAAGACTTATTAGCTGTCACTGAGGAGAGGAGATGCTGAACTCTGATGTGGGTTTTCTTTTCTAAGACCAACCAGCCTGAGGTGAACTTGAGGCCAGGTGGTTCAATAAGGCACAGTCTGAGCAGTCGAAAGGAGCTCTGAAAAGTTGAGTATGGGGAAACCTTGACTCTGAGCACAGGAATTAACACAGCCCTAGGAACTCGCTGCTGCTTGCCCAAAGACAACTACAGTTGTCTGACCAGGCATGTGTGGGATGTCTTGCAAAAGGCCTGCCAAGGTGATCATGTTTGTTTCCGCTGCTTCAGTTTGGAAATCACAGAATGCCACGATTCTTCGTGGTTTTGTTTTCTTTTTTTATTTATTTTATACTCCTCCACATAGTCTTCCTTTGCCCTTATGCAGAATTCAGTTCAGTGGAAATACAGTTTATTCCCTGTATGAGGAAAGGCAGTGCTTCATTCTTTTTAATTTCTCTTAGGAATGCCATAAACTGTCAGTTGGAGGATAGATAGTTAGAAATTAAGGGAATAAGGACCTTTTTTGTGCATGCAGCTCTCGTGATTGCAGAACCACGGATGGCAAAAATCCACTTACCTTTGAGTCAAATCGTTTTAAGTCAAACTTTACCACAAGGGTTTGGGGGTTTTCACTCTGTGGGTGCTGGAGTTTTAGAGAAGCTCAAAAAGGACATTTTTGTGAGCAAAATAGATTCTCACTCAGCTGAGTTAGCTTTAACTTACACTCGTTGGCAGTTTTATCTGGGGTATTTCTCCCAGAGGTAAACCTCTGCAATGACTGCTTGCAAGATCTTCAGTGATTTGGAAGTTTATGAACTATCCCGTAGGTGATGCTGACTCATGCACTCAGTGTTTGAAGAAGCGTCTGTTAATTCTGTGTTAGTTATTGACCATATTCTTAAAATACATTTGCTAACCAGAAATGGTTCAGAAGAGCAGTTCCAAAGGATGGAAGATGTGCCAGATAGCAGAGGATTTCTGTGGACTCCTCCACTTATTCAAGAGAAGGCTGAGTGATGTCCAGGTCGTGGTCCAGAAATCCCATGTCCAGTTGACCACACTCTCCTGTCTAGCACAAAGTGGTTGTGGATTGTTGCTATCAGAAATTACAACCAGCAGAGTTCACTGTTTCAATAGAGATCATCCATAAGTGTGCCCAAACCAAACCAAACCAAACTTTCTACTGTCAGCTGCCTTGGCTGCCATTTAAAGTCATTACCAGTAGTCCAAGTCCTGGTGTGAACTGGTCAACTCCCCTCATCGCTTCAGAAGCTCCCCCTGAAGTGTGGAAGTTGATGTGGTAATTCTTAATGTGGTCACCTCTACCATAAACACACCACGGGTCTTTCTGGTTTACATAGAATGTATTTTTTTTAATCTTGTAATTTTTTTGTTGTTTTCCTCTCCGTTTAGTGCACACGTTTCTTGAAATACGTGCCCAAAACTGGGTGCAACCCTCCAGCTCACATGTTAGCAATGCCGAGCAGAGTGGCAGGATGACCTCATGCGTCTTGCACAGCCATCCTGTTTATAAAGCCCTGTGGGGTGTTAATTCTCAGTAGCGGTACGACACTGCTGATTCATGCTCATTTTCTGATCCATAACAACCACCAGATCCTCTGGGCAGAACTGCTGCTCACTTACCTCTTCCTCCTCTTCTCTGGTCACTGAAGCATCCAGTTATTGTGTTTGCCCTCAGTGAATTGTATTTGATTTATTTTAAATTGTTTCTCTTAATATGTAACCATGAGTGGGATTCTGGCTCTTTCCTTCAAGGTGCTTGCAGCCCTTCCCAGTTCTAGTGTTATTTGCTACGGCTTAAGGGTATTATCTCTTCCATCATTCAAGTCATTAATGGAAATTATTGTAATAATACTAAACTGAGAACAGCCTTCTGCAGGATCTGGTTTGATACCTCCTTCCATTTTGATGAGGAATCATAGGTCGTTGTCTCTGTATGGGATTTACATCCAGTTGTGCATCTGCCTGCAGTGGTTTCATCCAAATGAGGTCTATAAAGTCTATAAATCTGTGAATTGAAAGTCTGCCCTGGTTTAGGAAACAAGGTTGAAAACCACTCTTTTCCACTCCGTAAAATGTCCTTCTAAGTATCAGCTCGTGTCCTTTTATGAGAATAAATGAACAGGTTTTATACAAGGCATATAGTAAAAAAGAAAATATGTAAAAATCAGCCTTTAAGATGTTTTTCATGAGCTGTCAAAGGGGAATGTGTGAAGAGAGCCCTTAGACACATTTGATCTCTGATGTGTTGAAATTAATTCTCTCCCCTTTTCCAGGTCCATCGTAATATCCTGGTGCGATGTAGCTGTGATGTGAACCCTTCATGTGCTCTGTGTGGCACTCGAAGCTCAACAACTCTGGAAATCCAGTATGACGCCCCTTTGCTGGAGCGCCTCTCCCAGCTGGACTCATGTATTCATCCTGTCCTGTCATTCCCAGATGGTAAGCACAGCACCCACAGGGGTATTGTCAAACTGGGTCCTAGACGGGTTATGGGGGATGCCCGGATGTGCTCTGGAGCCTGCTCCTCCATCCTGGGCTTCCAGAGGAAGGGCAGATCTGCGTGGGTACAACCGAGCTCCTTAATCTGCAAGTATCTTCAGGAGCAAGAGCATTTATTGGAGCGGAAGGGTGCAGGAAAGTGTTGCACCTGAAGTCTGCTCTGAACGTGTGTTATGGGAACCTGACCTGGTGGGGAAACCGAGCGGTGCCTGGGAGTCTTTGGCTGGTGTCCGTGTGGCTATAAACCACTTGAGAAATATTTGCTTCTGCAGAGTTTATTCATCTGTATAAAATTATTTGTGGATTGGTTTAAGTCACAGGAAATTTTTTTTGACCTTGTATGGAATTGTAAATGATCTTCCATGGTTCAAAGGGTACAGTTAGAAGAGATGTTCCCGTTAAGACACTTGTTTCCCTGTTTTACTGTATCAGTGTTAATCATCATTAAGAGGAATAACTAACCAACCCTGACTGCGGGGTATTCACAGATTTCGTGTGTAGGGACTTTTCCCAAGGGAAAAGAAGTAGTTTCCAGAGTCTTTGGCTTCCAAATTAAATACAAGCCTGTTCTTTCACAAAAAACTGTTGACTTGCATGAGATTGGTCTCCATCTGTCATCCTTTTCCTCTGATCACAAAATACAGGGCCACAAATGATACGAACTGGTACTTCTGTCAGGAGAGCCAGGCAGTAAATAGATCATAGCGGTTCCTTTCCTTGCATGGCTGGTGATGGTAACGCTAGGAGGAAGGTGTGTGTGTCCCTGCTTCTCATGAGGATAGTCCAGGTTAAGACACTGGGCTAATGTGCGTGTTTGGTTTAAATTCCAGCTTTGCACAGACTTTGTGCAACAGTAGGAAATGCACGGAGCGTCTGGGAACAGTTAATCTGGCATCTTTCACTAGCACTATATTTAAAACAGACTAAAATAGTAAATTGGTGCTATTTTTAAAAACTGAATCTCCACCCCCAAAGACACATCTCTGTTAAGAAATGCTAAAGGAACTGAACTCTTGAAGCAGAAATTTATTTCCTGATTTCGCAGCACTTGTAATCCTCTGTCTATAGTGGTAAATCTAATATCCTAGAAGTGGTGAGAAAACCTGTTGTGTACTATTTGCAGCATGGCCACCAGGCAAATTACCTCGTCCAGTATTCACTTTCCATTTCCTTCAGGTCAGCCGCAGCCAGCTCACATGGTAAAAGATCCGTTCTGGCTGCATGAGATTAAAACCTTTGGGGTTTTTAAACTCTGTAGGGTAGAGCTTAACACACCTATACAGAAATACCAATTTCCCCCCCTCCCTTCCTCAGATTAACTTTGATTATTCACTAATGCTTAATGTACTTTTGCTAGGGTTGCTTTTTGGGGATGGGGATATTTGTCTATCCAAACATAAAAGCCAGGTCGTGTGTTCAGGTAGAGAAATTGCTCTGCCTGACGTCGTCAGTCGCATCGAGGTGCTTCTCTGCTTGTGAGTATTCATCCAGGTTGTTGGTGGTGCTCCCCTAGGATTATTTTGGGGGCTCACCTTGAAAGCCAGCTGTCTGGGTCGATGGGCAGAGGCTCAGTTCAGACTTCCTGGAGGAGCCTGTGAGGTTGTTAGATGGAGCCTGGCCTGTGAGCATGTGCTGACTTTCACTTTGAGCCTGTCTCTCCAGGGCTGCGCTGGTGCCAGCAGCCGGGGATCTCCGGTGCAGTTTGCCAAGGGCAAAATTGCCAGGCACCGCAGGAGGAAAAAGATCATTTATTCTTTTGGCGAGCGGGGGGCAGGCATTGCAGCTTTTAACCCGTTGCACTTGTGCTTCGTAAGCACTTTGTCCCCTTCCTTTCAGGTTTTTTTTTGTGGGGTTTTTTTTTCTCTGGTTCATCTGATTTCTTGCTGGGAATTTTCAGATGATGTAATAACCTTGGTGGGAGGATGAGAGCCGGGGCGCTCGGGCTCCGTGTGGTTGCCATCTGCCGGTCCCCGGGAGGCCTGCACTGCTCGCCCGAGGAGGAGGAGTGACGGTGACACTTGCTGCGCGGACTCTGGTGCAACCCGTGCTGATAGCAGGGCAGTGGCAAACCAGCAAATAACTCGTTTTCTGCTGACAACCATTTCATCTTGCATCTTTCCTTTTCCTTCGACCTGTCCTCTCCTTCCACAGATGTGGGGGATGCTGGGACAGAGTGAATTTTGAGGAGAAAGCAAAAGATTAGCAAAGAGAAGAGACCATTTTCCCAAAGTCGCACCACCTCAGCACAGTGGTGCTGCAGCCTTGCTGGCAATGTCCTTAAAGGACCAGCTTGGTCCCTCTCTGTTCTTTGGGACATGCCTCCACAAACCAGTAGAGGTGGCCAAAGAGCTTCCTTAGCAAATGGATGGGGCTAAACCATCACAGAATCATAGAATGGTTTGGGTAACCAGGTCTCCCGTTTCTTTCCAGAGGGAGCCCACATTTTCCCGAGTCTTCCTTTTATCACTGACATACCTATAGAAACTTTTTTTGTTGTCCTTGGTGTCCCTGGCCAGATTTAATTCTATCAGGGCTTTAGCTTTCCTAAACTGATCCCTGGCTGCTCTGACATTTCTCTGTATTCCTCCCAAACTACCTGCCCTTGCTTCCAGCCTCTGTAGGCTTCCTTTTTGTATTTGAGTTTGCCCAGGAGCTCCTTGTTCATCCATGCAGGCCTCTGGGCATTTTTGCCTGACTTCCTCCTTGTTGGGATGCATCACTCCTGAGCTTGGAGGAGGTGACCCTGGAATACTAGCCAGCAGTCTTGGGCCCCTCTTCCCTCCAGGACTTTGTCCCATGGTATCTACCAAGCAGGTCCCTGAAGAGGCCAAAATCTGGTCTCCTAAGTCCAGGGTAGTGAGCTTGCTGTGCACCCTCCTCGCTGCCCTGAGGATCTTGAACTTCACCATTTCGTGGTCACTGCAGCCAAGGCTGCCCTTGAGCTTCACGTCCCCTCCTTGTTGGTGAGAGCAAGGAACAGCATGGCACCTCTTCTCCTTGGCTCCTCGATCACTTGGAGGAGGAAGTTATCAACGCCCTCCAGGAACTTCCCTGGATTGCTTGTGCCCTGCTGTGTCGTCCCTCCAACCGATATCGGAGTGGTTGAAGTCCCCCATGAGAGCCAGGGCTTGTGAACGTGAGGCTGCTCCTGTTTGTGTATAGATGGCCTCATCTGCTCGGTCTCCCTGCTCAGGTGGCCTGTAGCAGACCCACTATAACGTCCCCTGTCCCTGCGCTCCCTTTAATCCTGACCCATAAGCTCTCGGTCGGCTCCTCGCCCAGAGGAACCGGAGCTTTCCCCGTCAAGGTATGTGAAACGCAGCTGTCCTGGCTTTTCCCCGAGAGTCAGGTTCCCCCATTAATCACAGCCGACTCCAGCCCACTCTGCCAGCCCTCTCCGTCCTGTGTGCCTGCCTGGATCTGCTGGGGCTTTCCAGTCCCTGGAGTTGGTGGGGAAATACTGGGCAGACGTTCAGATATCAGCTGCTGAGACTACCAGCAGGGCTTGAAGCTCTGCCGCTTGCCCTCTGAGATTATCTAGATGCAGTTTCTAAATCCCACGGCAGCTCCTAATTGCCTCCACGTCCCCTCTGCCCGCACGGAGTGAGGAGCTTTATTCCTTGTGCAGGGCCTGGGAAGGTTCATCTCTGCTCAGGGTTGCTTCGAAGTCCCTGTGAAAATGTCTTGTGAGCTTGAGAGATGTGGGGGGAGGGATGTTTGTGCTGCTGATGCTCATCTTAGCGCTTTCGACTCCTAGTTGTGGCAGCGTGAGCTTGCAGCAGGCTGTGTGTCCTGCAGGCGACGGTCTGCTGGTCTGTACTGGGAGAGGAGAGCAGATGGGTGGCAAACCACAAGTGCTGGTGTAGTTGGAGAAGATACAAATTTATGTCTCGGTAGTTCTCCTGATAACCGTAAAGGTTTTAATGCTTTTCCAAGCTAGGATTTTGGCCCTCAGGCATATAAAAGAGAGCCGGGTCTTGGAGGAACCTTAGGCAGCAGTATTTGGTGATGAGGTCTGAAGTTTGAAGCTGTAAGTATGAGGGGAAGGCTTATTTCTGGGACTCTGAGGCTGGAGTAGTTTGGTACTCCAGTTAACGGTTGAGGGTTTTTTATAGTCTACCCTATAGCTTAGCCTATCTGCAGAAGAAATATGCTGAATAATCTCACTAGCATTCTATTTTTTGTCTAAGGTCAGGAGTGCACGTGTGCACGGGCTTTGGGAGAAACAAAGCTTGAGGAATGCGGGCAAAAGCAGTGTCTGCTGAATTCCACAGCAGTACAGCATGCACGTGCTCGTTGCGAGGCAGCAGGATGAAATAGGGACAGGTACTCTGGATTACCGTGACCTGTGGCATGCACAGAGACTTCAGGCTCGAAACGCATCAGTTACCCAGATGATTACCTGTGAGTTTGCCTGCTCGCACGTGCCTGGGGAGCTCCTGGCGAGCAGCAGTACTTCTGCTCCTGGAGCCTCTGAAGTGTGCTCACTTAGCACAGCTTTCGTTAGGTGATTGAGATGCCACATCAGGCAGATTAACGTCATACAATGCTTGGTTGGCTTTTGGCTTGACCTGAAATTGAGGATTTAAGATGAATTTCTCTCTTCCAGCCCGTACCGCTGTAGATTTGATGTGCTGAGCTATCTCGGATTCTTGGAAGTCAAATCTGCGATAGCAGAGTTGAGCGTGGCGGTACATGAGATAACTTCAGTGGTAAAGACGCGTGGTTTTTCTGACAAAGGCTTCGTTCTCCTGCCAGGATATACTTGGGCTGTGAATGCTGTAGGAATGGGCTTCTCTCAAAGAGCTTCAGATTAGAAATGTTGGGTCCTAACATCGCAGGTCCTCCCTGAATGCGAGGAAGGCTTTTAAAAGCCTGGCTTTTACAGTCAGTGCCTATGTATTTGTTGAGGGCTGTTCTTATCGGGGGACTAGGGGAGGATTATGGTACTGCAGCTTTCTGGTGCATAATTGACTTAAATGCCGTGTTTTGTATCCCTCTGCAGATGTGCCGACAAGCCTGCACTTCCAGAGCATGTTGAAATCTCAGTGGCAGAACAAACCCTATGAGAAAATCAAACCTCCCAAAAAGCTCTCGCTCAAGCACAGAGCCCCCATGCCTACCAGCAGCCTGTCTGACCCTGCTCGCAAGGACCGCCACAAGCTGGTGAATTCCTTCTTCACTGCAGCCAGTAAGTGTCCTTCCCGCCTCCGCTGCGTGCAGAAACATTGCCCAGTCCTGTACCCGACAGCCGTGCAGTCTGGGAGGAGAGAGGAGGAGGAGGATACCCTTCAAATTAAGCTCTCGGGGATGAGGCCATGGTATCGCAGGCCAGGGCTGAAAGTGAAGTGTGTGTAGGTTGTGAAGTTCAGGCTGGTCTCGGTTCGTAGGGACCTCTTCTCGCTCGGTCTGAAGCTGTGCTCACGCTGGCATGGGCAGTGCTACAGCTCCTCCTGCTCTGAGCACAGCTCTCCAGTGCCCTGATGGTGTTGAGCCCGACCTGTCTGGATTTACGGAGCTGGTCAACTCTGCCAGAGTCTCCCGTGCCAACAGAAAGAGAGGTGAAAACAGGCGTTTCATAGCTCTTTCTCTGTTCCCCTCCTCAGAGCGCTCACATCAAAAAATCCAACCAGACAAGGCACACAGGCCGCCTTTAGACGATTTTACGGCCGTGTCCAAGGCCGAGAGAGCGCCAGAGCGCTCGCTTGTCCAGCCTCCTGCCTATGACAAAAAGCGATTGCGAGACTGCTCGTCTGAGAGGAGTGAAGGTAGGCTCCCATGGCCAGGTCTCTCGGGGGGAGCTTGGGCTTTGCTGCATATCCAGCCTCTCTCCGCCTTCGGCCTCGGAGAAGGGGGAACGCACCGCTTCTGGGCCTTGTCACCACCGCAGCAACGCCTCGTGTGCTCTAACTGCTTCTTCCCCCAGGGCCTCTCGAGCTGGCAGCCACCGTCAGAAGGTGCTTCTATTTCACGCAAAGTGCTCGTCAGCACTGGCCGTTTCTGGCGCACGTGGTCCTTTTCTATCCACCACCACCAACCACCCCCTTGGTTTGTTTTATTAATGTCATTCTTCGTTTTCTCCCACCTCCCTTGTGTAGTGTTGAAGCATCACACGGACGTCGGTGGCCCAAGCTACTTGTCAGCAGCTGCGACCCCCACACCTCACAGCCCCATAGCACGACAACTGTCCACCTCCTCGGAAGGCTCCGCTCCTGCCAGCACGAGTTCACAGGGCACCTCCAGCACAGCCGTAAGTATTTAGTGCCTTTCTGGAGAGGTTTCTGAGCTCTGCTCCACCATGGGATCTCAGTTTTCCAGCAGTTTACACATCTTGGGCATGAGAGTGGTCAGTATTTCTCTTACCACACTGGACCTGTTGGTTCAGCCGATGGTAGGAGTGCTGGCTCCCTGTTTTACTCTGATTTTGGGTCTGCTGGGGTTCCTGGGTTGATGTTGGCTGTGCAGAGAGCCAGTCAGCTGCATTTCGGGTTTGGTGTCAGCTCAGTAACTGCTGATCAATGTTCCTGTTGTCAGCAGTCCCCTGGCTTTGCTGCACGTCCAGGTTTTGGTTTCTGAAGTTGTCCGGGGATGCCAGGAAGAGGAATAGAAGAGCTGAGCACCAGCAGCGCTGCTTCCACTGGGAGAGCTTTCCCTTCGTGGCCTCAGTGGCACTGGGCTGTAGGGCTGAGTCACAGGGCAGCGCTACCCCAGTGGTGGCTGAGATCCTAACGTTCACCTATACGCAAGCTTCAGCAGTTGCTGAAACCATAACTGTCTTCTGAGATGTGCTCAGCCTCCCAAAATGCTAAAGATGACAGGATTTGGGACCTTTATGAAGCTGGGTCTAAAATCCATCAGTGAGCAGGACTGTAACTCCCTCCCACTGTGCTCTGGGACAGAGGGATGATGCAACTCCTCTGCCAGACGTCACCCATCCTCCCAGTGTCTGACCCTTGATTAAAGGACTGAATTCTGCTGAACTCCCCATGAAGAACCTGGTCTCTGTCTGGCCTCTGTTGGTATTTTGTGTGGGCAGCCCAAGCTGGATGTGACCCAGGGATAACAGAGCAGGTCTCCTCAAACCCTGATAGTGAAACCGGGGGGGTAGAGGCATCTGTCCATGGCAGAGCTGAGGGCACCACTTCTAGCTCAACCTTGAGGGTCCTTGTCCTTGCTCCAGGCTTGTTGCTCTGGGGCTGCCAGGTCCCAGCTGGGTTCCTTCACTGTGGAGTTTGCTGTTGCATCATCAGCTGTGACATCAGTGAAAGCACCCTGTTGGTAGCACAGGGTGTCTGAAGAACCCAACAAGCAGTGGTAGTTTGGGTTGAGTGTACTAGGTGTTTTGGAGAAGAGGACTGCTCTTCCTAGCAGCTGTAGCCTGTCAAGATGACATTTCCTTGTGCTTCACACACATATCTTGGTCTTCTCTTGCTGCTTTTTCTGCTGCTCTTTCACAAGCTTGTTCAGAAAAGCAAGATGAGGTGTCTTCCCTTCAGTGCCTTGAGTCCTGCAAGAGCATTGTGGATGCCGGGCTCAAGAGTCCGGGTCCGAGCATCCCAGCCTGGTGCAGGTTTGCATCTGCTCCCCAACCGGTGGGTCAGGCCTCGCTGTTGACAGTGACACGTTGGGATTTCCTTGCCGCCATGGCAATAGTTGCCCACCCGCCCACTCCGTCCTCACCCAACTTCACGCCAGTCCTGGGGTTTGGCCGTGGCAGGTTTCCTGGCAGTTGGGTTCCCGCATGTTTTTACACTAAAAGCTGTGGAGATCAAAGGAGTCGGAGAACATGGTAAGTTGCAGGTGACTCCGTTAGGAAGATGGACCATTTGCGTATCGAGCTGATCCATGGGGATTCATGTCACTGTACCGGCAGTGCTGCTATCACAGGTTTGGGGGAGGTTTTTGGATAGACAGATGATTGGAGAGCACCCAGCATTCGACCAGGTTTAAATAGATACGTGTGGAGCTTATTTCTGTTGTAGAAAGTCTGTTCCAGTCAAAAGCGCAATACAGATGGAAGCTGTTCGACTGTTGGTCCAGCTGTCATAACCCAAGATGATCTCCTGACTGCTTCACATTCCTCCTCTGTCACAGTGTCACCTGCGGTGGGTCCAGACCGCTGCAGGGACACGAGCAGGGGGACTCTTTCCAAACGGGGTGGTTCTTCCCTCGTCCCTCATGGTCTCCCCGCTCGCTTTATGTTGGCAGTAGGGAATTGGATTATATGGGAGACTTCTTGCTGGGTCAGTTCATCAGCCGGATCAATCCCCTGATCCACCTGGCTGTGCGGAGGCTGGTGCCAGCGTGGAGATGCTAGCTCAGCAGCCCTTGCCCACCTTGCTTCAGTGCCTGCAGGACCACCACAGGCCTTGCCGTTGTTTGTACCTTCCAAGCTAAGGATTTTTGGCTGGGAAGAAGAATTCCAGCAAGCAGAACTCCATTCTGATGCAAATCACTGTTGGTTCTGGAGGCTCCATATAGGTCATACGAGGCCATTTCATATGAGGCTACATCCTTTTTCCATCAATGACTTAACATGACAAAACCTACAGCCCTTTCTCATGTGGTTCTTGTCTTCATGTTACAGCAGCCAAGGAGGAGGAGAGGCGAAAGTTCATTCGATATTAACAACATTGTCATCCCGATGTCCGTTGCTGCGACGACTCGTGTGGAGAAACTGCAGTACAAGGAGATCCTCACACCCAGGTACGTGGATCCCCCACTCCCACGGGGTTGTCACGTCCCAGGCTTTTACTGTGCAGCTCTCCTGTTGGAAGTTCAGCCCTGGCCTAGGGCTTTGCTCCCAGCGGCTGCTAATGCTGGTGAGGAAAAGGGGCTTTCTTCTTCCTTGAAAGCAGGAGCAAGTTTGGAAAACTTCTGATCATGTCATGGATGGAGATTTGCTGAGTTAGGGAATATGTTGTCCAAGCGTTCCTCATGCGTGGGGACAGCTGCCCTGCTCAGGTCTCCGTGCAATCTAAAGTCATCCTGGTTGTCCTCTGTCCTGCTGCAAAGCCGCTGAGTGTGTTGAGCCAAAGGTCCTGGTGGTTTCCCAGCTCTGCACGTGGCCGGGTTTGGGTGGTGGGTGCCTGGGCTGGGTTGACGCTGCGGGGCAGGAGGGCTGCTGCCTCGGGTCGCCCTGGGCAGTGGTGGGAATCAGAGGCTTTCTCCACTCGAGCCGAGTGCGAGGAGGTGAGCTGTGGGCCCTTGTCTGGACGTTTGGGGACCGACGCTGTGGATGAGAGAGATCGGTTGCTGGTTTTCCACACCTGAGTGCTCGATGGGAGTGTGCCACCTTCCTGCAGCACTGGTGCAGCTTCTTCATCCAAACTGCCCGGTTTCCAGTCTTCCTTTTCTTTCCCAGTTTTCCAGGTCTGTCCCAACTTACCTCTTTCTTCCTCCTGGTCCTACATGCCCTTCCCGGGCCCTGTCAGAGTGGGGCAGGGAGGAAGCCTGTTGCTGAGCCAGAGGAAGAGAAGGAAATGCTGCAGCATCTGCTCTGCTTCCTCTGCCCTCGGCAGGCTTCAGCCGCGGGGAAGGGCAGAAGGGACGGGCCGCAGCGGGAGGACGCTGGTAGCCTCGCTGTCCGGTCCTGACCCTCCCAGTGTGGAAGGACATGTCCTGCCCTCACGCTCAGTGGGTGCGAACCCGCTGCAAAACCATGTGCTCGAAATGGAGCAGGCTACCAGGAGAAGGGGAGAAACCCTTGTCTGATAGCCCAGGAGGGATTTTGGTAGACAAATGTGGCCACTTGGCTTAAAACTGAGGCTAAGTATGTTGTTCATTGTGGCGGGCTTATATTTTTTCTTTCCCAAAAGACAGGGCGCGCAGGGCATGCGCTGCTGTGCTTGGCTATGCCGGTCTTTGACTCCCCTCCAATGTTGTGTCTTGCAGCTGGCGTGAAGTGGATATCAGCACTCTGAAAGCGAACCCTGATGAAGACAACGAGGAGGTAAGAAGTTTTATTTCTGAATTAACGCAGGATGGGGTTGGTAGCGTCTGACCAGTGTCCACTGAGACAGGGCGCGCAGGGCATGCGCTGCTGTGCTTGGCTATGCCGGTCTTTGACTCCCCTCCAATGTTGTGTCTTGCAGCTGGCGTGAAGTGGATATCAGCACTCTGAAAGCGAACCCTGATGAAGACAACGAGGAGGTAAGAAGTTTTATTTCTGAATTAACGCAGGATGGGGTTGGTAGCGTCTGACCAGTGTCCACTGAGGCACCTGTCTAATTGCTGTCAGGAGACCTCTCTGGGCAGCAATCTTTTTATGGAATAGTCTAATCAAAAATCATGACCAGTCACACTGCTGTAGTTAGCTAAACTGATAATGATGGTATTTCCTTAAACCTCTGTTTGAGAGCTTTCACTCTGGGATAAGTGGCTTTCCTTTGGCTTTTTAGGTTTTAATTTCT